TAGAGGGGACAGAGGGGTAAGATTGTTTTGGTTTTAGGGTTTGGTTTCGGGATGGGCACCTTAAGATGTAAAGTCCTGGAAAGGCCAAGGGGGGGGGGGGAACCCTTGCCTAGGCACCTGTGGGTACGGCATGTTTAAACCCAAAGGAGGGGAGTATGCATTATGTGCTTGGGAAATTCCGGTTTTTACCCACGCGGTCTCCACTAGCCAAACGGGTTCCCTTGCGTTTGGGGGGGGGGGGGGGGGGGTATAGATAATGTATTTAAAGGAGATCTTTCTCCATAGATCTTATAAATACCCCTTATCAGGCGACTCCCCACCGCATGATATATTCTTTTCCCACCCCGCCTACTCACTCAACCAACATCCTATCTTTAAGCGTCTCCTTTCAGTCACCGGTCAATCACTCCTCATCACTCGCTTCAAACTCAATCCTTGGATGAAGTTCACTTTGGTTTATGATGTGCGGGGCAAATGATAATCCGGGAATCTAAAAGAACCAGCAATTCCCCACATGCCATAGGGTAGGACGGATTATGGAATGCCGGTACACCTTACTTTGCCCTCCTTTACTCGGGTGCAACTATATCATACTGCGAACATATTGAGCATTCTGGTGCTGTACGCCAACACACCCAACCAGCCGACTTCACCAACCGGCCAACCAGCCAAACGACCCCCCGACAGGACAAAAAAATCAACCCCCTTGGACCCTCTCCCTTCCCTACCATGAATATAATAAGTAATGAAAATCCCCTACAACGGCTCATCAGACGTGAGGTATTGCAATAATTAGCCCGCGCATCCCGGAAAACCACCCGGCCAACGTTGGCCGTTGCCTGCTAGGAGGGACCCCCGCTCGAGATCCCCAAGACCTCACTCTTGCGGGTTACGTTGGGCGGTGAGTGCCCTTTCCGGCCCCCGGAGTGTTATGATTTTGGCGGGGGGGGGGGGGGGTTGTCCCAAATCCCAAGAAAGGTAGGAAAACACCCCCGAAACCCAAAGCGGCGGAGAAGGCGGTGCCTCTACTGCATCGGTGCGGCTGCACAGAAGTAAACCGGGTCAGTATTGGTATAATACGATATCAATTGTTCCGCACGACCCAAAGACATTGGTTTGGGGCATGGGGGCAGGAATGTGACATGGTATCATACTGCGTGGGGGGGCTTTGTATTTCTTTTCACAAAAACCAAACCCCTTGGTGGTTTGATTGATTCCCTAATGACTAGCCATGGGAAGTTTGTAAATTGCACGACGTCAATCACACTCTATTCGCACTTGCGGCTAAGGGAAAGGGGATAGTACTGTTGAACGAACAATGTTACAAGTACATTAGTGTAAGTGCGTGAGTGAGTATATTACACGTTATTACCTCACGCCCAACCCCGCTACTCCGACCAAACTCAACAAAAAATACAAGAGGAAGCAACGGCCATCGGTAAAAAAAAAAAGAAAGAAAAAGAAAATTGATATGATAATCTACAAACACAAAAAATATTCCCACACCCCGTGTATATAATTCCTTTGCCCAGAATTCCCCTCAACACCCCTCACATACCCGCCACCCCCTTCCCCTTAATATCCCTTTCCCGGCCAAACACCCTCCTCCAGAATCCCCTCCTCTTTGGCCATGCGCCGCCGCCGGACGCCCTGCCACGCTTCTCCCCGGGTGCGAGCCCATCGCCCCACTCGATCCTTGAATTGACAGAGTGTGTGCACGGTTCGCAGCTTCCTTCCCCTTCTTCTCCTTCTTCCGCTCCCTCTTTACCCTTGCCCTTGACCTCGTGTTCTGCATTTGCCTTTGTTGTAGCGCTGACGCTGGTGCTTGGGGGCTCTTCTATGGGGGCTGCGGGGATTGTAGCTGTGGATGATGAGGGTATTGAGGTGGGGGGCGTGGTGGTGGTTGTGTTTGTGCTGGTGCTGGTGCTTGCGGAGGTGGAGGTGGAGGTGGTTTCCGGGGATGAGGTGGATGTGGACGAAGGTGCGATGGAGGCAGTTGATAGGTGCGAGGGGCCTATGCTTAATGGCGGGAGGACTGGGGGTTTGTCTTCGCTTGTTGTTCTGGTCCAGGGGGGCTGTCGGGGTGCTCCTATTTTTACTTTTATTTTTCCCATATTGCCCCCGCTATTGTTGGTTTTGTTATCGCCGGAAAAGGTAGGTGAGGTTCAAAGACTGTGGGGGGGGGGGCGGAAAATATTTGGGTTGGGGGAGGGAGGGGTGGGGGAAGGGTGGGGTTATTATATGGGTTTTTCTAGTCACCCCGTTACTTACCAAGGTGAGGTGGGGATTACATGCTTTGACCAGTTAGTTAGCTAGCTAACTCGTTTTAGGACGCGAGGAGGGAGATATGTCCATGCCCAATTGAGGTGAATTTCTGTGGAACTTTTGCTGTGGTAGATACATTTGAGGGCGACTGCTTTCGTTTCCTGTTTGGATTGATTTGGTGGTAATCTCCGGTAATGGGGCCCTTTTCCCCCACAAAGTGGAACCCGTGGGTGGTGTAATGGTTATTGCGAAACATTCGAGGAGGGATCTAAAAGCATACCGGTACCTTTGCAGCTCAGAAATAGGAATTGTACTTCACCTATATCCCTTCTATCCCCATCTCCCTTTTTCGTGTCGTTACTTCCCCGGCTGGGATGGGAGGTTCGTGGGAGGGAAAGCACTGTAGGCTAGATATGATGAAATGTGGCAACGGTATTGGGCTGCAACAACCTGCCAAGAGAGGGGATGGTTCCTAATCCTCGATTGTGCATCATAGCGGAGGAAGGTGCTCACCTATTCGCGCTCAGAAACACTGAACTTGTGACCTTCTCTTAGGATAAGAGCGCCCGCACAGGGCCCGCGAGCGATTATCGTGTATGAACAATGTGCTCGATTACGTCTCCTCTAGATATTGTTAATGGTAATACCCAAGCCAGCTGACATCAGACCAAACTAACCGCAAGTATGCAAGACCCTTTTTCCATCCCAATAAACCGAGTCCAGTTCCTCATAATCTCGAGCGAGTTTACCCCAGCGACTTGCGCTACCCCACTACTCGAGTAAATGGTTTCTCCCTCTCCCCACCATTCTCAATCTCGCCAAAACCCACCACATGCCGTACCGAGCCCTTTCCAATGTTCCCGCTATTGTTTCAGATCCATGATGGATGGGTAATACTTTCGGGTTCGTGGCCTGCCGAAGGTGGTGTTGTCGGCATCGTGTAGTGAAAGATCGGTGGGCAGGAGAGATAAGATGGAGTGAAGTGAAGTCACCGATAGTTACACAGAGACAACCTTAAACACTTTATGTCCCCACCCGCTGCAGGAACCCTTTAGGAGAGCCAACATAAAAAACTCTTGAACTTGACTACCGATGCTACCATATACAGACAAAGAACTCCCTAAAGAACGCCCACCGTCATCATACTCATGGACAAACAACAATAACTCCCCCCCCCCCCAAAAAAAAAGGATATGACTTATGATGATACCCACTGCTCCGCCTTAAGAAATCAAACACCAACTCCCACCAGGCGGGTACCCCCCATCACCCCCACCGGGACACTTACACCACTGATTCTTCGGAACCCGTTCCATGACTTGAGGAATGTGCGCTCCGCATCCGACCCAAGTAGTCCCAGCTGTATCGTGAAATCGTTTTTTTTTTAGTAAAACTCAAACAATCAAGTCAACCGCTGTGGAAGATGAATCGACTTACAGCACTTGGAGCAAGTTGTTTTCCGACACATTTTTTCTTTTGGAATTTTATATCTTGTGTGTCTTCTTCTTCGTAGAATTTTTTTTTTTTTTTTTTTTTTTTTTTGAACTCGCGATAGGGGTGAATAGGTAGGTAGGAAGAAGAAGGGGGAATGGAGAGGGAATTAAATACCGGTAGGTACAGTACGTGCAGCGCGGTGCGGTGGGTATAATAACTTATAGATGACTCGGCGAGGTTTTTTGCGATATTATTGCTTTGTCACCGGGATTGACGACGGCGAGGTCGGGGACCGACCGAAGAGAATGGTATTCATGCAGCGTGGTGGGGGATTTCCCGGTAGGCTTTTTTTGGCGGCGATCGGCCGGCAATGCACCTGACAGCGCCGGATGATACCCGTAGTGGGTTGACACGTGAAGGCGAGCACTACCGTATAATATCATTGGGCTACAGTACGATACGAGTGCCCGTAGCGGTATTGTGCAGCACAGGGATGCCATGACTGACAAACCGTCGGCAAATCCCTCACCATAGAAATATGGAATTTTACGGCTGTGGGTAAGGTTGCCGTGCCCGTGACTTATTTTATATCACCGCTGGCGGATCCGGACTGGATGGCGCACGTTTTGTGATGGGTCTGGCCAACCACCCGAGCATGATATTCGAGTATCATACTCGAGTACGAGTACAGTAAATTTATCTCAAGAACCACCGGTTCAACCTTGCTACTGCCCCCCCCCCCCCACGCACAAGGGGTGAAAATCCATAGTCTAGTGGGTACTAGAGTACTGTGCCGGTGCCGGTACGGTAGCAATGTTTTGACTGCTAATTTGCTGATTGCGCCGTCATCCCCCAGACCCCCCACGCCCCCCCGAACCGGCATCGTACCTGCACTTGCACTGCGCACGACAGCTGCAATCCCGGAATGGCCTTCCGCCACCAACCACAGTAGCTACAAACCACAGTAGCTACAAAAGATGAACGGGATCGGAAAACCCCCGCACCCGACCAGGAATCGAATTACGATAGTATATTACCACCAGCGAACTCGCTGTGTAGGATACCGGTACTGTACTGTACACTACTTATAATCCCAGCACCCTCGACAAAGATGACAAATCACGTTGTCCAGCCTGGACCAACTGTACGAGTACTTACATAACGCCCACAAGTCCAGAACCATGATATGATAATGTTGTGGTCTTCCAAATGGACCCCGAAACTGACAATCCATCATGGTCAACAAGAATTTAAAATTCCACCGTGACACCACGGCGAACACGGCCGCTACTGTACTGTGCTGTACAGTACAGAAAATCGGAAGGAAGAAAAAAAAGATGGTCCCCGCATATCCCGCTCGACGCAGCTTCAGACGTCCTTTTCCAGTTAACCCCCTTTTCCCCATCCCCATCCCCATCCCATCCCATCCCGACCGCACAATGATAATAAAGTATCATACTCAAGGGTACAAAAACCCACCAGCGGCACCCACGTGATGACCCTCCTCCCTCTGTATGATGTTCGGTTCGCATGCCCCACGCTCTAGTTGACGTTCGCGTGACTTGGGGCTTGGGACATCTTCCTCTGTCGGTGGAACCCCCACCCACGCATTGGGGGAGGCTCTGGGAGCTGTCTCCGGTTTCTCTATCATCAAAGCTAATTACGGTGTGGTAGGCTCATTACCTTTGGTTCTGGCTGTGGAGGTGAGTTGTTTGTTGCGCTCGGGTGGGCTATCAACTGTAGAAGCGTGGTCTATCGTGTTGCTGGGATGTGTGTATTGTGTAGACTAATGCCAGAAGTGGTGGGTACTGTACAGTACTGGTATGGTAGGCGGATGTCACGGGATGGATGTGTGAGGGTGTATTTAATGTAATAATATGTAGGGTTTCGCTGAGAAGAAATTTCGAGATGGTACTGTACCAATGTTTACTGTTGCCTTGCTTGGTGCCGAGCGCATGCACTTGAAATTTACTTTGTGCCAACAATATCATGTGCTTTACGTGTTCGTCAAATCTCATCCCGTAACTCGCCTTTCCAAGTGTCGTAATGGTCTCACTTAAAAAGAAAAAAAAGATGAAATCTGCTCGATTAATCATTTCCGTTCTAGCCTATAGTTCCATTCCATCCGCCCAGCTCCGATAGTCCCCGCCGAGTAAATGATAGCCGTCAAAGAAGAAGAAAATTGACGCCCATCCTGTTTAGCACAACCCCCCCCCCCCTCTAGGCTTCAAGTTTCTAATCTCCAAACTTGCTAGCTCTGAACTCGCTCTGCAGACAATCCCCGTCAAAGACACGTTCCAAGACTCTACCCGGACAAACCCTGAAAATATATGGCTCATTACTATGTTTTCCTGTCAACATCCCCACAGTCTTCAGGTTAGGTATCATCAGCAGAAGTCTCTGCAAGCAATTGCGAGCCTGAAATTCGCTGAACCCTGATTCCAAGTGGAGGTAGAGCGTCCATAGGTTGCTGCGTGTACGTGTTTTCACCGGGTTGGTGCTCTAGCCTACCGTTAGCCAGGCACAGATAGATGGGGGGATGGGAATAAAATACAAAAAGAAAATGAAAACGCCGCGCTGAAAAGCAGAGCTTCACCAACACCCGACAATTCCTAGCGAGCCCTCTCAGGTCTCTTTCGCTAATGCATAGCAACGTGTCGAGTGTTAAGATAGTCAGTTTCCGGAGTGTATGTCCGTGAAACATAGAAATCCTTGCGAGGAGAAGCGAGTCAACGCTTAAGCTGCAGGGGATGTGCCGACGGCCGCCCTCCGGTAACCCCCAAGTCCTCCTGTCATATCCTAGCTCGTAGCGGAGGTCTTGGAGACCGCGGAAGCATTTCAGGAATCTACCGAATTCATATTGAGAGGCTCTTATAACCAATTTCCGAAGGTTTGGGAACGCCCGGTTCCCCCCCGCGGAAGCCCATTCTGCACCCGTAGCCGACTCGCCGCCTCCCTCGGAAGCCCACCCTGCACCCATACCCGACCCGGGATCATCCTCTTCATCGGAACCCCACATCGAGTCCAAACCCGACCAATCTACCTTATTAGATTCCATGCCCGAATCCGAATCCGACCCAGACCCATTCTCTTCGTTGGAACCTGACATTGAGTCAGTATCCGACCCTCCTACCTCATTAGATTCTGCACCCATACCCGACTCACGCGCCTCGGGGAGGGTGATGGCGGAAAGGAGCAGTTCGGTGCCGGGACAGGAGACAATTTCCAAGCACCGGAGGTTGTTGAAGTTGATTGCCTGAGTGAGCACTCCCAAACGCTTTACTGTAAAGGGTCGCCCAACCAAGGTTAGCGATTTAAGTCTGCTCAAGTGAGTAACCTCCCCCCCTTCTGGGGACTCCTTAAAAACACTCTTGTGGTCGCCCTCACCGCCACCGAAAAGCAGATTCTCATCCTCATAGTGTCGTTGGCCGCCCGGTCTAGAGATCAGAGTCAGCGACTTTAGCGTTCCCGCGGAGGTCCTGAGGATTTTTCGAATGATGTCATAGTCCGCCGTAGATGAAAGTAGACGATGGGCTAGTGAGACAAAGTTTGAGTCGAGAATAAAGGTCACAGATTGGAGAGGGTGGAGGCGTAACAATGGAGCATCGGTCTCGATGATATTGGATAGTGCAAGTGAATTTAGTCGCGGCTTGCGTATCAGGCTGTGAGAGATGCGGGGAGTGCGACAAAGCGCCCTGTCGCTAGGGGTGGCCCAGCTAGCTCAACACGGTCACAGGTTAGTCAGCGATTAACAAGAGAGCCATCAGGCGGGGGAAGGTGGTGAATACACGAAGGATTCCAAAAGAGACATATTGTCTATCGCACTCCCAAGGATCTCCTTCACAATATCTGCATCCTCCTCCACATCATCAACCAGGAGCGCGGCCTCAAACTCTCTGACAAACGCCCCACAATTGCTCAGGGCCTTGCCGAACTCAGGGCCCTTCCCGTTGCTGCGCGCCAGCCCATGCTTTTCTGCGGCGGACAAGCAGAATATCCTCTCCTGTTGCCGTGAACTGAGCACGGCGTGCAAAGGCGTAAAGGACTTTTCAAAAGTTTCATGTGAGATCTTCAATTTTCTGTAGAGGAGGCGAATGGCAGTGGCATAGAAGGACTTCGAAACCAAGCATAACGAGTAAAAATCTGCACGGTTGTTGAGCTGCGATCCTCAGCCGATAATCACCTGTTGTCAGCAACAAACCCACACGCCCGAACGGGCCACAGAGAGAATCAAAAGTGGAGGGTCAAACATTGCTAAAAATCATATGGAGCAACTCCTGTGGTAGCACGGGCACAGACATGTTCGCCATGATTGCTACTTCGACGTTGCGCGCGGAGCGCAGAGGTGTTGAACCTCTACGTGGTGCAAATGCTGAACGTGCGTTAGTTTTCACGAGGGAGTGGTTTTCCTAGCTGCGGGAAACCTGAAGGGATGGCAAGTGGGGATCTCTTTATTGACAAGGCTGTGGTCAACAGTTGTGTGCCCTACGAGTGCCCCCCTCACCCTAAGAAAGCTTGCTTTTCATCAAATCAACAAACCCGCAAGCCGCGATAGCGCAGGTGGTGCAGGAAATATGTCTTCATTATGCATGGCCCGCACAGGTAGGTCTGGCCGGTCAGCCTGTTCTCAGCCCTCCATGCAGTCCATAATGATACCCCGCAGGAAACAATCTAGCCCTCCCGACCAAACATAACACTCCCGCAAACAGCCCCATAACGAACGTCGGTTGCCTATCTTGGGAGGTGGGAGATTTTTCCATAATACCGGTAGCTAATACCTATGTTCGCTTATCCGTAGTGTCGTAGTGTTTTCCCGGAACCGTGGCGGTTCCACAGAGCAAGGCGGGTTCTTAACGCCGATGCAATCTCACTTTTAGCGGAGGTTGCACTCATGATACAAGTATATGACAGCAAGCCTTTTGACGTTTTGACGGGACGGGAAAGTGGTATTGATTATCTGATAAGATTAGACGGGACGTTTCAAGCAGTACAGTAGCGAGTTCAGAAAGCAAACGGATATCACAGGAAAGGATGCTGCTTACATTCTACCCGGCGAGCAATTGCGGGCCCGGGCCAAAGATGTATTCCCATGAGGTTTAGCACTTGACTCCTTGAGCTTAAAATTAATCTCACCGGTCTTTCGCATGCAAGAAGGTACCGTTGTGTTTTCACCTGCCCTCATGACTTCACTTTGCCAGCCTCCTGTTCTGAAAAGGATTCTTCCCTCCCCTTTTTCTCTCCCCCTCCCTTTCTCACCAAGCACCCTTCACCCCAAGAACACTTTTCTCCGCTGGTAACGAGGCTAATCATTCTCAACATTCCTTTCTCCCCCTGAGTTGGACTTACTATAGCTCGTCCACCTCTTCATCAAGCATTTCTTTTTCCGATCAGATCCATCAAGAATGCTTGATTCCTAGGCTTTCCGTGCTCAGCCACACCCCTTCGACACTGCTCCTTAAGGGGGTCTATTAGTTTGTATTAGAATGTTCACCTCTTGGCGATGCCTTACGTATACCTGCATTCGATAATCACTTTATGCCTGCTTCCTTATGTAGCAATCGCTTTCTTCCTTTTGTCTTTCGTCCTTTGGACTTTAACTCTTTCTCCTTCTTTACCGAGAAAAACGAATACAACTTCATCTCTCCGCTCTTTTTCGTAACAGTTTGTCATCTGAGGATACCGACTGGGCTGGAATCTCACTCGTTGTAGGTTTGCTCCGTTCGCTTTCTTCCTCTTTTTTTTTTTTTTTTTTTTTTTTTTTTCTTTTTCCAACTATTTGTTCGCCTATTTGCTGCTTCCACTTTCATCTACCTACCGCTATCATAATGTGTAAATTGTTTGCTAATTTGGGAATATAGCCGCCACTAGGGTTGGTGATAAGACTATCAGGATTGGTATCTCAATCAATCCATGATGGCGCTCGCTCCATTGATTCCCGTATTAAACAACTCGCCGTTGGAGATGGCGAGAATATGCGGCATCTCACCAAAGCTGATGCCACTAAGACGACCGATGGCTACTCTGTAGAACGCTAATCCAAATTTGTGGGCGCTGGGGTTGCGCTTGGCCTCAAGGAGTTTTGGCCCAGAATCTCTGCATATCTCTGGTGAAAATTGGACGTTATCTACATCACCCTGAAGATGCATACGACAGCTTCCGATGCATCCCAATATACAGTACTAGGACAATTCCCATTAATTTTGACAGGCAGATGGACTCTGCAGCTCAAAAGTGTGTCATGTCTCTTAGCCCTAACCATAACCCAACTCTCGCCGTTGTTTTCAGAAACCGGGTGATGCCAGACGCACAGGAGGCTATTAAGTTTGTCCAGTACTTGAGAGAGAGTATAATACGAGAATACCGTACACAAGAGTGTTTAGAGTGTTGCTCTTTGGCATAGCCGTGAATTAGTTTAACTAGATATAAAGATCTTCAGACAGAAGGAACCCCTCAGGGTCCACTAACTAAAAAAGAAATTTCTCACCGGCCGCCTAGGGAGGTTGTGCAGGATTGATGAGGCATACTTTGGTTAGGTTTTGCTCTGAATTAGGTGTTAAGATGAATTAATTTGTTTTCATCCCATCTACAGCGCATAATGATTAATCATCGATGTCTGACAAGCATATTCCCAAGTCCAATGCGAAGTCTTTCGGAATATGCAAAGACGAACCGCAACACTCCTCAAGGTGTGGCAGATCCTGAAGCAAGATTTGACGAGGAGATGCAGACCTTACTTCATGAATGGACCAGAACAAATGCTAAGTACCATTGGCTCTCATCCTGTGACCCTCTTGCTCCTGTTGGAGCAGACGCCGTTATCGTCGAGACAAATGCCCGCACCAACTCTGTTCATTAAGAGAATTGGCCGGAATGTCAAAATTATTTATCGTTCTCATATCGTAGTCCGGGCGACCTTGTGGGAAGGCCTTGGTGTGCGAAAAAAACAAGTATAGCGGCGAAAGTGGTGTTATACAAAGTCACCAGATATCTTCATCAGTCATTCGGTTGACAGAGTTGTTTCACATAGTTTTCCATTGGAAATAGTTGGGTTGATGCCTGCTTGCACCAATTGGTGTGTTTTACTTGCCTCCGAGTTATTTTCCAGCGCTAACAAATACGGGCCCTAACAAGCCTTTTTGCGAATGAGATTTAAGATATTATCATCAAGGTATACTAGATTCATGCAATTGCCGGGAATGTAAGTTAATCTTGCAAAAAAAAAAACTTCCACTTCCTCGGGATAAAACCACAAACCTTATCGATGCCTCTCAGGAACCAGCTTCTGTATCCCGCAAGAGAGTATGACTCAAATCGCGAGATTTGGCTCTAGCAAAAGTATTCCGGAGGTTGTTGGGTCTTTCCGCATATTGTGTGTGCTTGTATAATATAATCAGACATGTCCCTGAAACGCTTCCTCCACAGTTGTTGATGTGCGTTGAACTCTATTTTATTTTTAAAGCAACCACCCTCCGAATGGTTTTGTACTAAGTTAACGTATTTTAGTGATCCTAATGCGTCAATGTCTTTTTTACCGAAACTATGGAATTGCTTGTGCGGTTGAGATATTCAGCGATCGTAAAAGACGTGGCGGCCCCAAGAATTGCAGCAAGCGGCAAAAGTAGGTTTCTTCTGAGGTGGTAATTTATCAATTCAAATCTGACGTTGATTCTAGTGTTGAATGCAATGATAACTAGCGTGAAGTCGGTCATACAATATTCTCGGGTGAGGGATTCGAAGTCAAGGTGTTTGGGGCACTGCGTATGGAAAGCATGTCGTTGCCACGGGAACTGCTGGCATTCCTTTGTAGATTCAACATAGAAGATCTGAATTCCTCCTGTAAGTTGGTGATACTGATTCTGCTGCTGCAAATCGCTTCCTGTTTGCGCTGTGCACCAACAATGACCCCTGCAGGGTGGGAAATATGTGAGGGGTGATGTGAGCAACAAAACTGCAATTGTTGGTACTGTCGCCTGTTGGCTTTGCTGCTATGCTTGCGAGAGGCCAAGTTCTCAAGCTTAATTTGAGACTATCCAAAATGGCCCACGGAGAAGATAGTATTGCGGGTCTGGTGAACCACATATTTTGAATAGCCGGCGCCCCATACGTTGGCACCACCGAGCAATATCCAGAACCAGCAACCCATATACGCAGTTCCTTAGATTCTGCATAAAGCACAAAGGGGATACCCTCTAAGTCTGATAGACGAGCGGTAGCATTGAGATGAGAAGAGAAGTTACGTTGAAGAGAAAGAAAGGGAAATGAAGAGAAGGGAGGAGGGAAGCGAAGGCATGAGATGGGGTGAGATGAGAAGAGAAGTGAAGGAGTGTGATCACTGTTATCAAAGGGAAAGCGATGATGAGGCTGGAAGAGAAGGAATGCAACAGTTTTCTGATCCATGTATTTAAGGACACCTGTTTGCCCGTAGTTGAAGTGTGATGACAATTAAGATAAAAAGATCCCCCACTCCACTTCTGACTTAAGAACTCCTAGTTATTGGGCGGAAACCTTACTTGGCTGCTCACCGCATATTTCCCTTACAGCAAGGACTCGACAACCCTAACCCTCTTAAGCGATATCAACTACTCCAATGCCTTTATGTTTGACTACGGGTTAGTCCTACACATTAAACTATTGAAGGTTATGTCGGTTGATTGAGATAGATTGTGGAGGTTTTGGGAGTTTGGCTGAGAGTTCAGAGTTCGATGGATTGGTGTGGAGGTTCAGAGATTGACAGGAGATTCTCCGGACATGTCTTTCCTTTGTTATCACGGGAGTGTATGGAGGAAAGGGTAACATGCTTGGAGAGATACGGGTAGGTGTGGTGATTCATGGAATGGTGAGGATACATTGTTTATGTTCCACTTATACACCTGTCTTTACCGTTAGTTTAGAGAACAAACGAGGTTGTTTTTCCTTACCTTACGCTCTTGTGCACTTCCTACCACAGTTCCCACATAGTCCTTTAGTTTCTCTCTATCGCTGCGCAAGTCAATCATTGACTGATATACCCATTCATAAGACAAACAACACCTGCGACAACACCTGCGACAACTCCATTAGAAGTCCTTACTCCTATCATGTGGAAATACCGAATATCCTCTGTCATACTCCAAATCTGATTCTCTGCCAGAACGTACCCTCTGTCGAAGCTTCTCATCCTCGGCCGAAATAGCAAAATGGATGGCAGTGGGATTGAACATGATGAAGAACACGGCATGCACTGGAAGAGTGTGGAAATGGATCAATATGATC